ATATATAATATATATATATATATCCTTTCACTTGAAAGCTTCATATGCTCACATTAAGATAGTTTCAATCATTTTATCATTTTATGGCTCCTTATAACCTGTTACTTTCTTTAGGAAAGGGATTATGTAACCACGCAAGACAGGTTATGGCATTTTTCTAAGTATCCTACAAATGGATAATAAAAAGCTTTGCTTAATAGGTAAACATTCAAACATGAAGACAATGAATAACATGAGATATAACAGGCTTTTATTTTATTGCTATTTTTGTCAGCTCAAGTCATACAATTAGATGACAAAATATTTGAGAAATAGGAAGAAATAGCATTTAGCAATATGGAAGCTAATAATTTTGCTTCCTAACCAGTTGCTTCAGCAAAGTCAGGAGATTTAGCAGATAAGTAATCACAGTATACCTATAACTGGAAACATTTTAAATGGAGTTTTTATTATCTTTGCAATGTGTATGAACGAGTTGGTGTTGTTTTTGAATTAGTAATAGAGAAAACAATTTTAGGAACAACTGAACTTTAAAGATTAATTGAAGAATTATGCTTAAAAATCTTTTTTAGCCTGTTACAAATGGAAGTATTTGCCACATACTTCGTCTTACAGCAGATATGATCTTTGGTGTTGGATAAATCCCATGTTTTTATAAATCAGACTATTTTAGAATTTGTGGCAACCAAAGAAGTGCTGTTGAGGAAGGTTTCAAAGAAGCAAGTTTTTCGGTGATGCTAAAGTTCTAAAACATAATTATAATGGCACCTTTTGGGCAGCTATAGGACATTTATCATGTCAGCATTTTTATTATTAAATTCCAATTCTATTTACATTAGTCTTATCAGGAATCTCAAGGTGGAAGGAATCCAGCTCTCTGAGATATCAAGGCTCTGTAGAAAGCTGGGCTGAGGCAGAGGGCCTGAGTTGTACTTCGGGCTCTGTCAGTTGCTATCCTTGTGACCTCTGACACTGCACTTGACATCTAAGTTCCAGAGAATCAAATAAAAAAGAAGTGTTCCATGTTTCTTTAAAGAAAGGGCATGATGTTTGACTAAGTGCTTACCACCATGTTGTACCTTAGAAGTATAGGAAATTATTATTATTAAGGATTTCCTCAAGTCTTATGAATTTAGCAGAGCTTTTTGCATGCACTAACTGCAAATCTTTATAGACACATCTAGTACCAAGTACAGTTAGCTGGTAGGTATTGCTGTGGTGACTTTTACTTCTCAGTTTTGTCTCTCGGGAATACTTATGGGACTACAGTTGTCTCAAGTAATTAAAAAATAGTTGCGTTGGAAAAACATTTAAAGAGTGGCAACTAAGACTTTTCTATGTGACAGTGTTTTAAGAACATTGCATTTTTAACTGGCCCTGAGTACTGAGGGGACTGTTTTCGGTACCAAGAATGCGCAGATGTGTACAAATAAACATGATGCTTCCACTTGAATTGAGTCAGTTGATTACAAAGCTACTCTCAGCTATCATTTCATTAGCAAATATATAATGGATCTGAATACCAAGTACAGTATGAGAGAGGAAGTGACAACATAAAGATACCAGTTCTATTTAGAATTTTCTAGTTGCAATAATTACTAATGTTCTTTAGGGGGAGGCAATCCCCCATGCGTTATTACTAAAGCTGCAATTCTTTAAGGTTCAGGTATTTTATATAAATGTATTTACATATATGAGAAAAGAATAGTGATATGACCTTCTGCATATGTCTTTAAGTGACTGGATACATAAGCTGAATGTAACATTTTATATTTTGGATAAGGGGGAGTTGGAAAGTGAAAAATCAGCCCTGTGAAAAACAAAGAAATAAATGTACATGGACCTAAATTAAAGAACTTTTATGTTATAGAGCAATCACGTCTTCTTAACTTCCCAATGTCTTGCTTTTTATGTGAAGGATTCTCAGAATTTCTTTGTTTCACATGAATTTGATCATGCATGTTTATCAGACTCTATTGATGCCTATAAATGGCAAATCTTTTCTTAATTTCTGGTATTTATAAATGCATATGCTTTATGTCTT